TACAGCACATTTCTGGACATTCCACTCAGAGCAGTTTCCAGGTACTGGGGACTCCCTTCCACAACTACCAATGTACAGATGATGCAACAGCAGCCAGAGTGCACCAGTACACTCACCCCACACCAGCTCTCAGTGGGGAGAAGAACAGATTGATCCAGCCCTGGGATTTTTAATGACCACAGCAAGTCAGGACCTCTGTTTTACATCTCATCTGAAGGACAGCAGCTTTTTACAGTATAGTGTCCCCATGACTATTCTAGGGTTATTAGGACCCACACAGACCACAGGGTGAGCGCCCCCTACTGGCCCCACTAACACCTCTTCCAGCAGCAGCCTTAGCTTTCCCAGGAGTCTCCCATCTAGGTACTGGCCAGGCTCACTCCTGCTGAGCTCCAGTGGGGCTGCCAGCTGGGAGTTGCAGGGTGATACTCTCTGGTGCAGAGGATGGAGAAACACGAACGCGAGATTTGACCTCGCTGAACGCAGTCTGACGCCTTTTCTGCGACTTTATGAGAACGGAGCTGCGTTAGTCTGGGTGGTGGGACATTGACCGAAGGATTTTCCCGATTTCCCCCTGGAAGCTCTGAAGCCTCCTGTCACCGAGGCTAGCGCCACCAGGAAGCCAGGATCAGGGCTTGACGCGTCCTTTCTGCGAGCAGCCCGGGTGATTCCAGCGCCCGCCGGATTCTGGGGGCGTGCTGGGGGTTCCCATTGTTCCGGCACATCTGTCTTCGTCTGTACTTCTTGCGAGGGGGGGGGGGGGGGAGGGCTGCGGTTCAGTCTTGTTTTCCCGTCCAGAGTTCCTGTGATTTTATTTTTTTCCGCCCTACTGCAAACAACCCCTCCCACCCCCCCACAGTCCCGGTCAGCCCCTGTGCTCCTGGTCCACCTTCCGTCCCGGAAACCAGGCGGAGCTCCAGACAGAAGGAACCGTAAAAACACTGGAGGCTTCATCACACCAGCAGGTCGGAGCGGAACTGTGCCTGACAGACAGGCCGAGTCTCTAAACCTGTCATTCCGCTGCTGTATCAAGGAGACCGTTCTGCTCGTCTGGCCCGTTTGCAGCTCATTGAGCCGAGAATCTCATTATCCAAATGTTTTTTGGTATCAAGTTTAATAACATAGTTGGGCTGCTTGTTCCACACTCCCACCACCCTTTGTGTAAAGAAGCGCCTCCTGTCCTGGCTGGAGGATCTCATCCCGCTGTGTCTTAAGCCGATACCCTGGCTTCTCTCCAACAACATTGCTGGGCAGCGTGTTCTGCACTCCCACCACTTTGTGTGTAAAGAAGTGCCTGCTGTCCTGACTGGAGGACCTCATCCCTCTGTGTCTTGAGAGAAGCCAAGGTATCGGCTTCAACAACATGGCTGGGCAGCTTGTTCCACACTCCCACCACCCTCTGTGTAAAGAAGTGCCTCCTGTTCTCAGTCTTAAATGCACTTCCACATACAGTAGTTTCCACTTGTGTGTGTGTGTGTGTGTGTTTCACTGTTCTTTCTGAAGGTTGCCATTGAGAGTTTGTCCTTATCTTTGAGAAGTTTGAATACGTGTATCAGGTCCCCTTGTAGTCTTCTCTGCTCAAGACTAAAGAGATCCAGTCCCTTCAGCCTGACAATCCAAGTCCTTCCCTCGAGCCCCAGGGCGTATCCGGTTGCTCTTCTCTGGGCTGATCCCAGAGCAGCAATGTCAGCTCTGTAATAGGGTGACCAAAATTGTAGACATTATTCCGGTTTCACTTGAAAACCTAAGGCTGCTATGGAAGCGAGCACGCAAAAGCCGGTGTTGTGTTTTCTGAAAAGCAGTCGCTACCGAGAGAGGAGTGTGTGCTGTCACCAGCACCGCCCCCTCTACCCCAGGCCCTAGTGGAAATCCAGGTGCTCCCACTTCAGCAGGCTTCCCCTTCCTCACCACGGGCCGGGCGGGAGAGGGTAAGGAGTGGGCCGGTAGCTTTCCTGAGCAGGGGATATTTTTTTCGAAAGAAAAACAGAGAACTGTTTTCCTGCCATTGCTGCAACACACACACACACACGTATAAAAAAAAAACAAGGAGACCTAAAAATACAAGAGGCTCAGGGGCCTGGATCTTTCCTGCTGAGCTTCCTGCCCCTGCGTGGGCCGCGAGGGAAGGGGAAACGAGAGGTCCTGGCTGCCCTGCGCTTCCTGTGCGACGTTATATAGAGTCCCCCCCCCTCCCCTTGTCCCTCCTCCCTGCTCCCTGCCGCCCCTCTTCCCTCTTCCAAAGAGCGAGGGCGAGAGAGAGAGACGGACAGTCGAGGCAGGCACTCGAGGAGGCTGGTCCAGCTCCTGATCCTGGGAATCGGGTCTTGGCACAGGCCAGCGGGCGGCTGGATCTCGCTCAGCGCGGCCCGGTCCGGAGGACGGGCGGGTCTCCGCTTCGTCCCTGCTGGTCGGGGTGAGTGGTGGGCCGTTCTCCCGCGTGAGGGCAGGCGGGCTGCGGGACGGGGGGTATCCTCGGAGGACCCTGCTGAGCCGGGATGGGCTGCGAGCCTCCTGTCCCCTGCTCCAGGGGTCCTGCGCTGAGGCTGCTGTAGGTCTGGGGGTGGCGGGCCAGTCCGATGGCCTGGCGGGACGTGCTCCGGGCGGAGGGGGGCTCCGGCGGAGTGAGGGCTAAGCCGAAGGTGCTGGTGAGAGCCCCCGAAGGGACCACCAGCGCGCGAGTCCCCTCCGAACCGGGAGCTGAACCGCCCTGCGTGCCGTGGTCAAGCGAGGCCCCCCACCCAGGGCTCTCGGGGTGAAAGGGGTGATCGTTGTTATTGATGGGCAGATGTGTCGGGTTCGAGGATTGGTGGCTGGCAGGCTCGCTCTCCAGCCTGGGCATGTCCTCCCTCTCGGAGGTGAGCCGTCCAGGTCCGCAGCGGGAAGGGTGAAGCAGAATGAAGCGACTGTGGCGTCAAGCGCTGGTGCTGCGTGTTCAGCTGTTCTCGGTCGTAGTGAGAGGTGTCCCAGCACGAGCTCGGCCCGTGCCCCCGTGCTCCCCCGCAGCGTGAGCTTGGCAGGAGGCTGGGAGGTGGGGTGGGGAAGGGAGAGTCGCCTGCCTCTGGCGCCGTTTCTGGCTTCTTGGTGTGGAGCTCTTCATGGGGTGAGCCTGTGTGTGTGTGTGTGTGTGT